AAGGTGTTTACAAAAAAGGATGTAGATCTAAATCTACATAATTAACACACACTAACACTCTCAATGTTACATCTTTCAAGCATACATCTACATGTGGTATGAACCCACCTTATATAGACGTGTTTACATGTCTCTCTCTCTATCTCTCATAAAGGGGGAGTTTTGGATAGAAAATTCTGAATTGAGCGCTTTCTCATTCCCTTTTTGGTTTTATAATCATTTGTCGATTATAAAAAGGGGGAGGGATTTAGATATGGAAATCCGAAAGCTGAATTTTTATAAAACCAAAATCAGATTGGAAAATTGTGATTTTTTATTTTGGAAAATACCAAACCATTGGTTTTTATTTCGGTTTCGGTTTTTCGTTTTTTTTAATATATTTTTCGGGGTTTTGTTTTTTTATTTCATAGATTTCTTCATCAACAAATGTTGCTACATTTTAACAAAAATAAATAATTTGCTAAAACATAATACAAGAGGAAGTTTGTCCACATTTAGTCATTGAACTTTTTAGAGGGAAACAAACTTTCGATTTTGTTCACATTTAGTCATTAAACTTTTTTTCGTTATCTATTTGCCACTAAACTATTGAAATTGTTCACATTTTACCCTTATGACCGGTAACAGCCCGTCATAAGGGTAAAATGTGAACAGTTTCAATAGTTCAATGGCAAATAGATAACGAAAAAAAGTTTAGTGACTAAATGTGAACAAAGTCGAAAGTTCGTTACCCTTTCAAGTCATTATCCCAAGAAAAAATTATGATGAAAACGGACCACCGTCACCGCACCTTCTCCAGATAGCTTTTGTCTTTTTCATAAAGAGTTCCTTGTGTAAGTTTTAATTTTGTTTTTGCTTACAAAATCCTAATCAAATGATATGGAAGCCATTGATGATGTTCATCTTCATCAAAGACCCAACAAGAAACAATCGCATTTTTTTGGAACGATCATCACCGGTAACTTCTGCTTGGACTTCCCTAATTTAAAATTCATGAACACCGACAATGTTGGTAAAATTACGAAAAAAAGAAAAGAAAAGAAAATAGAGTAATGTTGAATGATTGATGCTTTATTAACTGAAGATTGGCTTAGGCTGGAAGGAGTGGTGCCACCGAAACCGCACTCCCTCCCCCACCACATAAGCGCCACGTCACTTTTTACCATACAAGTGTGGTTTCATGCCACACCAAGGGAGTGAGATTATGGTAAAGAGAGAGAAAAAGAAAAAGAAGAAAAAGAAGAAAAAGAAGGTGATTGGTTGAAAGAGAAGAGAGAGAACAAATAAAAGAGGAGAGAGAGAGTGAAAGTGCAGCAAGAGAGTACCGCACTGCGGCCTAAACCGCACCAAACCGCAGTCAGGGGGCGGTGTTCCCCTGCCTATGGAGCAAAAGGTGCGGTAAAGAGCGCACCCACACCCCACAGCCCTACAAGAACGAAATGAAGACGTTGAAATCTAAATAGAAATAGCTGAAATCGAGGAATAAAATCTGCTAATTGAGTTAACTCTTATTGACCATCATTATAAAATTTGCTAATTGAGTTAACTCTTATTGACCATCATTACTTTGTGGAAATACTTTGAATTAGGGATGAGCATATGGACCGGGGAACCGGCCGGAACCCGATGGAACCGGTCGGGCCGGGACCGGGACGTTATTTTTGTGGATTTTTGGAACCAGGAACCGGTAGGAACCGGAACCGATATAACCGGAACCGGTAGAACCGGCAAAAACCGAAACCGTATGATGCTATTTTTCGAGGACCGGTTCCAACATTTGAAGACACGACAAGAACCTGTAGGAACCGGGAATCGGTAGAACCGCCGGGCCGGTTCGGTTCTTGATTTTGGCTGAAGCCGGTTCCCGGGTCGGGTCCGGTTCGGGCTGGTTCCGGCCGGTTCGGTCCTTTTGCTCATCCCTACTTTGAATCATTCAATAATTCTTTTTGATTCAAAAGTATCAATTCCTAATTTCCTATCTATGTTCGAAGTTCCTCAAACTTAGCTTGAGGTAAAGATTTGGAAGATTAAATAATAAATAATTTATTGAGAATATTTACAAATATTAAACTTAACTATTATGATAATATTTATAAATATTCATAGATGTGAGAAATTATTTGGACCTTAATTAGAAAATGTTGAAATAACGACTAAAAATAACAATTAGCTCAAAACTTGTAGTGCCTAGCTTTGACTTAATAAAAGGTTCATTTTGTTAGAATAATTTTGAAATGGGGCCTTATTCAAGATCTTAGAAGTTTACAGAACTTGTTCTGAAAGTTAGAATTTGTTCATAGAAAAGAAAAACATTGAGTTATTTTAGAACATCTCCCAATTCTTTAATGGAACACCACATAGATTAGATACGTCGGTTGGAATTCGATATTAGAGATGCCTAGTCATCACGAATGATGATAATTAACAATTTATGTGTTTAGAATTGACAATCGCATTCGTCATTGATTATAAAACAACCTTGCCATGCAATTCATATAAGGTTTGGTATAAAAGAACGTATAGCACATTATATGAACATATTAACTATCCTCTCCGATATTCTAAGCTTCAATAACCATCTTTTAGCATAAAAAATTAGTCCACTTATTTCGTTAGAGTATTTAAGTAAAAGAAATCAGCAACGAACTTATTTTAACCTATAACAGAGTACAACATCTTAAACCTTACATGCTGCTAATGGAGGACCACAAAGACAAGCATTGCCGACAAATGAGGTCGACGGAAACTTGGTCGGCGGCAGACTCCCACACAACCCATTATGACTAACATTCAATAATTGCAATCCTGTAACCGTCTTAGGAACCTTTCCGATCATCAAATTCCTCGACAAATCCAACGTCTTCAACGTCGTCGGAAACTTCAAACTTTCCAGATTGAACTTCAATCGGTTCCCTGAAGCCCAAAAACCCACCAAATAATTAGTTCGATTCAACAGCTTCACAGGACTCCCCGTGATCTCATTCTCTGATAGATCGATGTAGTCGTAGAAATACGTTTCCGATGGATTCCAATCATCTAGTTTCATCTGGATCCCGCATTTTGCAAGCTTCAGAGAGTATATGATTGGAGACGACGACACCCATTTCGGTATCTGCTTCAGATGAAAACCATTGTACGACAAATCCAGCGATTCAATACCTTTTACATTCATAACAGGGAATGGATCTGTCAGTTTATTACGCGACAGATCGAGATTGAAAATCTTCGTGAGATTCCCAAATGATTTTGGTACTGTTCCCGAGAATCCGTTCGAAGACAAATCCAACGTATCTAGCGCGCGAAACTTTCCCAGAAAATCAGGGATCTTTCCGGTTAGTAAATTGTGCCCCAACTCCAGATACGCAAGCACCGGCGCCAGAGACGAGATGCTCGCCGGAATGTTACCGGATAACTTGTTATACGACAATCTAAGAATCCGGAGGTTTGAAAATGAAGTAAAAAAATCCGGTATGCTTCCGGTAAGTTTGTTCCGGTCTAGAGCTAGAAGCGATAAACTCTTTAGTTGACGGATTCCGTCAGGTACCGTTCCTGTGAGCTGGTTGCCGCCGAGTTTGAGCTGCGACAACTCCGTCAACTTTGAGATCGAACTCGGTATGGTCCCGGAAAACCCATTGCCTTCTAAACTGAGTGCATATAGTCGTGTCAGGTTACCCAGATTTTCCGGTAAGCGGCCGGATAGTTTGTTGTTTTCAATATAAACATACTGAAGATTGGGTAGATTAAACAGAACGCCGGGTAAAGGACCCGATATATTCCGGGTATTTTGGAAGTAAATTCCGTCGAGGAAACGAAGCTTGGAGAGGGAAGATGATATGGTACCAGACAAGTAGGAGTTGGGTTTATCAAGTTGGCCGTAAAGTGATATACTGTTGACCCGATTGTTGGGAGCTTGACATGAGATACCGGACCAGTTGCAGCAATCGGTGGCTGGTTTCCAGGAGGAGAGAATGCCGGACGGATCAGCTGTTATACCGGACTTGAATGAGAGTAGGCCTTGTTCGTCGTCTGGGTGGCATATTGCAGCGGCGGCTGCGAAGATAGAGAAGATAAGAATGAAGGTGAGGGCGGCGGAAGCCATTTTTGAAGGATAAGTACCAATGGGAACTATAAATAGAGGAGACAGTGGTAGGATAGAGAGTCAGAGAGTGCATTAATTCACTAACATGTTATTAAACTTTTTCTACATTTTTTTTTTTGTTAAAAATAGGAAATCAGTGGGTGGGGATTTGTATAATTTTGCTACCCAACTTTTATTTTGAGCCGGTTTCTGACTAATCATTAGATTTACATAAAATATCACTTTATCTTTGTAATAAAGAATAAGTCAATTGTTAAATGTCGACCATCAATATGGATGGAATACTTTTCCCTCATGTGTTTTCATAATACAATTTAGGATTTATAACGTGTCCACTTCTTTATTATTTGAAAAAAATAAAATCAATCTCAAAATTTTCCCTGAAAAAATGGTTTGAACAATAATTTTTTATTTAGGAGTTCTGATAATCGACAGTAAATAAGTTCAATTCCTACAAAAGCTTATATATTTTAACCAACAATATCAATATCACAATTACTTTTAAGAAAAACATTAATTATCCAAGTTTAAGATCCTAATTGTAAAACAAATAAATGGTTATGTATATTTATCACATTCATATGAATCCAACAAGGTAGATGCCGATTATCAATTATATATTATTATATAATTCCTAATTTTATAGGATAACTAATAAAAAGAATTTAATAGACATGTTTGATCACATCTATGTCTTAGAACTCGCTAGTTTATGTATCATTTATCACAAACGATTTCCGATCAAATCATCCAATATGAAAAACTTGTATAATATGTCTATAACTTGGTTATAGAAATTGCGAATACTACAACACCCACAGATTCAGACTAGACAATTAAAATATAATAAACGATAAAACAGCATTTTTATAAAAGGTTATTTAGGAAATACAACATTAACCAAAGTTATAGTATATGTGACAAAGATTTCGTATATATAAAGAACTCTGAAATCCGACTTCGTATGAAGAAGTTATGATTCTTCGAAGTTTTGTGATTAAACCGACACGGCTACACGCGTCATAAAAAGTAAATTTTAGATGGGTTGCTTATTAGCCGAAGTAATCTAAACGAAAATAATAATAATCATAAAACCGAGAGAGTGCATATAGAGAATGCCTAAATCTGACATCATACGAGGAAGTTATGATTTTTTGGAGTTTCAGAGCAGCTGTGTTAGCACATAAATCAAATTTTAGATTGATAGATTATTAGCCGAAACAATATAAATGGGAGTCGAAGATCTCGTTAATAGGAGTTTATCGATATAAAGACAATCGAGATCGAATGTCGTATGAAAAAGATATGAATTTTAAATGAAGAATAACAGTCTAAGCCTTCTAAAATAATAAATAAAAAACAAATTCATAGTTAGCCAACAGAGTCTAAATGAAAGTTGTAGATCTCGTCGATTGCTATACGTGGATATAAAGAATGTCAAAAACGGAGTTCGTATAAAGAAGTTACGGATTTTTGAATTTTTGCGAGATGCGTCACGCGCAAAAAGGCGTGACACGCGCTTCTAGAAGCTACCACGCAGCACCACCCGAATTAGGACACGTGTCAGCAACACAACGGCCGACTAGAGCCAGGGCACGATGCGCAAACCCAAAAAAATGGCCTATAAATAGATTTGTCAGCCTTCTCATTTCCCACACACAAATTTGAATTCTCTTTCTGCTTTTTAAGTTATAATCTCGGAAATTCCTAATAGTTAGATTATTTTGACGAAGTCCGGAGGTCCCTGAGTGTACATATTTAGTAGTTATTAGGTTGGAGTTCTGCCAGCGCAATTTCCCAGTTTTCGCTAAAAATCTTGTAAGTTAAGTTACACTATTTTATTTTAAATGTAACTTATATTTATGTTCATAGTCATTATTATGAACCTATAAATAAGATTTATCTGTGATTCCAAGTCATTATACTGATTGATCTATTTACTGGGATGATTTATAGGCTGGATTTAGTGACAAGTTTAAAGTGGAATTTCGAAACAGTATACTCTATATAGCAAACAGACCCTTCCTCCGATATGATCCTACCTGGTTTTTTTTCTTACTTGATATATCTTGATGTAAACATTGGGATTAGTGAGGAATCTAGACTATCATTAGTCACAATGAATATAAGACTAAGACATAGTGATATTCGTACCTAGGTCGCGTCAAAAGGAAAAGCTAAGGTGTTAGGTGAAGCTCTTCCAAAATCACTAGTTATCCACTTTCAACAAGTGATTGCATAGTTACTTTCATCTTACACACGGGTTGAGGAGACGATGGAGTTGGGCGGGGCGCCTATTGTGCGGGATTTTCCTGATGTTTTCCCCGAGGATTTTCCTAGAGTGCCTACCGAGAGGCAAGTAGAGTTTCAGATTGATTTGGTACCCGGTACGGATCCGATAGCCAGGGCACTGTATCGCTTGACACCACCTGAGATGCAGGAGTTGTCTACGCAGTTGCAGGAGCTGCTAGACAAGGGTTTTATTCGTCCAAGCAGTTCTCCGTAAGGAGCATCGATTCGATTTATGAAGAAGAAAGGCGGTTCAAACAGGATGTACATTGATTATCGGGAGTTGAACAAGTTAACGACGAAGAACCGTTACCCACTTCCGAGGATTGGTGATTTCTTTTATCAGCTTCAGGGTGCATCTTGGTTTTCCACGATTGACCTACGATCAGGATATCACCAGATGAGGGTCAGGGATGAGGATGTATAGAAGACAACCTTCATGACTCGTTATGGTTATTACGAGTTCGTGGGGATGCCATTCGGGCTCACCAATGCACCAACAACATTCATGGACCTCATGAAACGGGTTTGCAGGCGGATGTTGGATAAGTCCGTGATTGTATTCATTGATGATATTCTGGTATACTCCAAGACCAAGAAGCAGCATAAGTAGCATTCGTGGGAGGTGTTGGAGACCTTGAGGAAGGAGAAACTTTATTCCAAATTCTCCAAATGCGAGTTCTGGTTGCGTGAGGTGCAGTTTATGGGGCACATCGTCAACCAGGAGGGAATCTTGGTTGACCCAGCCAAGATCGAGGTTGTGATGTGTTGGGAGGTTCCGAAGACCGCATCTGAGATCCAAAGTTTCTTAGGTCTCGCAGGGTATTATCAGAGATTTATCCAGGATTTCTCCAAGATTGTTGTGCCTTTGACCCGTCTGACAAAGAAGAATGTGAGCTTTTGATGGGGGCATGATCAATAGTTGGCTTTTGAGACTCTGAGGCAGAGATTGTGTGAGGCCCCGATTCTTGCGCTCCTCGAGGGTTTGGATGATTTTGTGGTATACTGCGATGCATCTATTTCAGGTTTGGAAGCTTTCCTTATGCAGAGAGGTCACGTGTTTGCTTACGCTTCGAGGCAGTTGAAGCCTCATGAGGCAAACTACCCCACTCATGATTTGGAATTGGGAATCGTGATGTTTGGCCTCAAGATCTGGAGACATTATTTGTTGGATTTGGTGTCTAAGCCCATAACTATAACTGGGATGTACTTGACCCGATTGTAGCATGGTCCT